TGTCCAACACATTTGGCTTGTGATGTTGCTGCCGAACAATGTTATGGTACGTAACCATTCTTTACATTTCCGTCCATTCGTGTTTTTTTATTACTGATGTATCTCATCCATGCTGATCCTTACTGATTACTCATCCTTACTGATTTATCTCATCCATAGATCCATGCATTGTAAGCAATCCTTGTGGTCGGAACACCAAATGCAGTGTCATTGATCATAGTCCTCAGTGTGAATGTATACCTGGATTCAGAGGAAATCCTCTAGAATACTGTTATCCAAGTAAGAAACAAATTTTTCTTTTTAATATTCCACTCGATAATTAAAATATGGACTTGAGTATAAAATTTGGTTCAAATTGTTGAAATAAGTCTTTTATCCGGACTAAAAAATTCACTAAAGTAATTTAAAATTTTACAATAAATTTTATTTAGAACCGTGGTGTCTCAGGGGATAGAGCGTTTGCCCTCCATTGATGTGAACCTTGTTCGAATCCCAGCAATAGCTGGTTGATGGAGGTTTTTATGGTTTTCCTCTCGCTGTAGCACAAATGCGGGTTAGTTCCATCAAAAAGACTTCCACGAAAGCAAATTTCTCCCAATACTTAATCATAGAGTTCCCTTGTCTTCTGGATAGGGTTCGAAATTACAAGGCTACGGAGTTGAACATTAGTAGTCGTGAACACAAAAATTGAGTTGGCTGTTCAACGATGGTCATAAATAAGTTTTATTTTCAGTACCAGACTTTGCAATATATATTTAAACAATGTTGCAAAATATTAAGCGTTTTGTATCTAGAATATTAAAATAATTTGTAAATCTATTTTGGTAAACAGTTTTAAAATTAAGTTTATTTTAAAAAGGTTTTTACTGTACTAATATGAAACTTGACTAAATTTTAATGTTTACTAGCCGATGATTTTAATAAAGCGTACTAAATGAATACAGTTTTAAATTCAGTTCATCTTTAGTAAAGGATAATAATTGTTCCTTCATATTTCTATTATTAAAAGGTAATCGTTTTTTTTATAGTCGGTCCTGGATGTCAGAATGATTTAAGTTGCCCTGGAAACTTATTCTGTTTGAATGATGGAACATGTGGTTGTCCAGGCGATTTCAAACGTTTATCAGATTTCTGCATTAGTAAGTATCTTTCTTTTCTTTTTAATTTAATCTTTAATTTGAAGCTTATCATTTCGAAATTCCTCCCATACCATTCGTAGGTGACTTTGTTTTTATATAAATGTGAGCAATTATTACTGAAAGTTATAAAATTAATAGAGGATTTTTGATTCCTGTTTAACTATTTATGTATTTTTTCCTGATCCTATTATTATTTATTTCTCAGTCAAATTCATAAAACAAATTCCATGCTTTTTATCATTACTGCCCCTTTTATATAAATAACTCTCTTAATAATTCTTTATTTTCTGTTAAAATATATCAATGTTATGCAAATGTTAACCATATATTTTAGTATTTTGTAATTTTAATTTAAAAAATTTTCATAACTGAACAAAGTATCCATTTAATCACTCAATTAAGTAATTCAAATAAACTCTATCGACTGGTCACTCAAATTAAATGAAGCGTAAGTACCTTAATAAACTTCGTCTGTCAAATAATCATCTGATATTACTGTACAAATTATTCTTTATATTTTTATG